TTGCAAATTGTTAGTAATATAATGTAGAAAAATACTGTATTATCAGAATTATCAATATCTATTTGACGAAAAAGCAACCTGCTACTAAGTAATATAATTGCTCATTACAATTATATCCAACAACGATTGCCGCAAACCTATACAAAATATGTGAACTAAATTTAATTTGTAAAATGTCTTATATAAGAGGACATCCACTTATCCACTTTTAAACTGTAAATATGTCATGAACATTTAAATACGGTTTTTAAGTTAGATTTACAGTTTTAGAATTTATAATATTTTTTACTAATGAAACCTAAAATTATATTTAGAATTATTAAATTAAAGTTTTAAAATATTATAATTAAAGATCATTGTAATTAATGCCACCAATTTTTAATTTATATAATAAACTAAATAATTTGATAAACTAGGAAATAAAATTTTACAGTACTTGCAAATAATAAATGATACGCGATTAATTAAAATTTAAAAATATTACTTCATCATTATTAATAATTTTGTAATTTAATATTATGTAATCTGGGGGTCGCTACTCAATTATAGCGACATGGTATATTTTCTAAATAATTATTTAGATAAATATAATTATATTATCTATTCATTAGTATTAAAATAGATTATTAAAAATAATTAATTAATATTTTGTGTTTTAAAATTTTAATACAATAATTTTACGGACAGTTTACATCAGTCCATTGTTTAGCGTATTTATCAGTGAGCCAGGTATTTCTACTGTCAAAACAATCGGTATCCGAAACAATTGTATTGAGCTGGTTCAGTTTGAGAAAACCTTCAAATATACCTTGGTCAACGTATTGAAAACCATTGCCAACGATAAACAGATTTACATTTCTATGTTTAATATTATCAAACATTTTAGACGTTATTAAATTATAAGCCAGTTCATCGTATTCAATATATAAATCAAGAGTACCACGATCATCTGTATCAAATTCAGTAGCCAGTTCAAACGCAGTATCAGAAATTGTACATAGGTGATTATTATTCAATGACAATTCACTTAACTGGCTCATATTGTAAAATGCATGACTCCCAATACCTTGCACATATTTGTTATCGGTGATTTCAATTTTAGTTAACCCTGGGTGCGAATGAAATGCATTAGCCGGGACAGTTGTCAAATTGCTGAATGATATTTGAAATGTAGTTAACGAGGGTACTTTTTTAATTGCCGTAAATAGATCTAGGTTACCACCGGTTATTAAATCACCATCACCAATTGGCGTATGTGTTATTATGAGGGTCTCAAATATTGTACCAGGGTTGTCAAATGCATTAATATGAACATGCTGCAAACTATCAGCCTTATTAATTAATACCTTTTTAAATGTAATATCCTTGAACAATTTTTCTGGTATTTCCGTTATAGCCTTATTTGACAATACAAATGATGTGAAGTTTTTGTCAGGGTCAATTAAGTCCTTGCTGAGTTGAGTAAATACATTAGTTATATTAAATGACTCGGTACCGTTGCATATTAAATGTTTGTCCATGTTGTGAGTAATACAGTAGCATGGTCCATTAATTTCAGTGTTGAGACATTTAACTGGGTTTAGTGTACAAACTTGATATGAGTATAACGATACAATTATAAACATCAAGTAAATTTTAAACATTTTAATTAAGATTATAAAAAAGTATTAACTTTGAAATAATTGTAATATTTTATGACTTTAATTAATTTGTACAAGCACAATAAATGTAATAAATATGTGCCGCTTATTTATATCATACTTAAAGATTATTAGTTCAAATTCTGATATGCAATTATCAATGTACATTTTAAGTGCACAATGTGCTTAAATTAGTCTAACTAATCACTTTTAAAGTTACACTTTATATAGATTTCTAGTTTAAGACCTAAAATGTTCTGGGACAATAACTATTTATACTCAAGCCAACTTTTATTTATGTTATAATGATCATTGTATCGTAATCTAATAATGTTGCTGGTGAGATATATTTTAAAAGTACGGTACAATAATATTATTTTATTTAATTAATTATATAAAACCTTGAATTATTATATTTAAAACTGTAAATTTTGTTAAAAATATTTTATAATAACACGATAAATAAAAATTTTAATATTATTTGGTAACGACCACGGATATGACAGAGATACTTTTAAAAACGTAAATGTTTTTTAAATTAAACAATCATATTTAAATAATAAACTTGTAATTTTATTTTAAATTGTAATTGAGTGTTGCACAAATAAATATTTTCTATATATTAAGTTTGAAATAATTAAATAAAATTTATAAAATTATAAATTTTGAAATTAGCACATTTTAGAATGTGTTGATCTATAATATTGTTATTTGCTTTATAAATCATAATAAAACTGTAAAAATAAATATAAATAACTTTTAGTATAATGGACATTTGAAAATTATGTAATCTAATTAATTTAACATTAATTATGAATAAATAAATTAATATTTTATCTAAACATATTAATTATTATTAATTAAACAAAAGTTTAATAGACATATTTTTATCACGCTTATCATAATAAATACTACCAGGCCTAGTATAATTATATATATATTTTTATTAGTTAATTAAGCAATTTAATTATTTAAAATTAATCTTTACTAGTAGAGTATCTGAAATACATTCTACAATACATTATTTGAATTATTTATAAATAATAAATAAAAACGACATAGCTCCATGTAATATTGTATTGCTCAAATATATTATAAGTCAAGTATATTTTTTAATTAAATAAAACTTATAAATTTTTAAAGCTTAAAGTTATAATTTAAATTTGGTATGACATACCGTGTTAATCAATAATATTGTAACTTGCTTTAGAAATCATAATAAAACTGTCAAAATAATTATAATTAATAACTTATATAATGAAAATTTTAAAAATAATAAAATTGGTTTTTTAAAATAAAAATTATATTTTATTATTTAATTATTTAATTTACTAAAATATTAATTTGCAATTATGAACAAGGGTAACACAATATATTTATTTTACTGTATATTAAATATTTTTAAAAATCAAAAACTTTACAGAATTATGTAATATAATTAAAGTATTCATATACAGTATATGAAATTAAATTAATTTTTAAATAAATAAATAAATAATTTATTCAATCCTATTCATTATTACTAACTATACAAAAATCTACTAGACTTATTTTTAGCACGCTTATCATCATAAATACTACCTGGCCCATAGCCATCATAGCCACCCTCATAACTAGGTTGAGGGAGCGGACTAGGAATGGGAGGTTTTACACCACTATTCACAGGCTTTGATGAATTGATCATGGTGGAAAATCCGTTGAACAGGTCGTAGATATTGAATATACTCTTAATCCAGTCGTTGGAGGACTGGGAGCTCGTGATGTTAGACCCGTTTTGGTACGAGTTTTGGTTAATGTATTGATTGAAGTTAACGGTTAGTAACGAGTTTAGGGACCAGTTTTTGCGCACTTCCTGTTGGTAGTCGTCCTGCCGGTGCTGATGAGGTGGTTGAACGCCAGGTGCTAGTAGGGCACCGGTACGCGCGATGATCACGCATATTAGTAGACTAGTCACTAGGGGTAGTAGTCTTGAGATAATATTATTATTATTATAATTCATGATTTATGTGTTATGTGAAGTATTATATGTTTAATTAAATGTAGCACGTATATTAGCAGTGTACTAAATTAAACACATTTATGAGCCAGATGTATTATTTGTGTCAAATATAATGTTTGTGTTTGAAATTGTATGTGCATGTAAAGAATCCGGGTAATTTAGGTTATAATATAAATGCGTGTATCTTTACAGGTATATATATTTTAATTACATATTTAATTATATTTATTTTGTATATTACATAAAGTTGTCAATTTTTGTATAATAATGTATATGTTGTAAATTTAATAGATTTAAAGCTAATTATTATATTTGTAATCAAATCACTTTTAATTATACATTATTTGCATAAAGTTATTTATGTGAAACTGTAATTTAAATATAAATCATGTATATTTATTATTTTTTGCTTGCTTATACAATTTACGGCTCCGAAACAACTACTCACTTTTAAATTTTCATTTTCAATTATATTAATAAAGTGGCATAAATAAATAATTTAATAATTTTAAAATCTTATTCCGATATTAGTAATGTATAATTGTGAAGTAATTAAAAAACATATTGATACTTGCTATTAAATATTTATCTTTATTTCAAATTACTAAATTTTAACTAAATTTGTTAATGAACTTAAATATTAATATATTATATAGGAGCATACATAAAAAAACATACACACATAAAATAAATGTTTCCTAAAATAAACAATTACTGGACACTCCGTTATTTAGCTTAATGTTAAGTACTTGCATTGGGTCAACCATTTTTGTTAGCCAGGTATTTATAAAAACAAATCAATTTGATGGTTAGTACGTTATTAAAAATAATTAAACTATTTTTCCCACTAGATTCAACTGTAAAATTAAATTACAAGTAACGTTTATATATCTATTCAAAATAATTCATAATATAATTGGTGCTATATTTGGATTTCAAAAATAATTTTTATAAAATAATTTTCATAAATAATTAAACAATAATTATTATTGTTTTTTAATTTTTGTTTTTTTCTTATGCCAACATTATAATGTTATAAATATTTGCCTGATAATATAATTAATCAATTTATAAATTACAGTTTTATATAAAATAATTAATTGCCAATTTTTGTTTCAAAATGTTTTATTATTTAATTGAATAAATTTGTATTGCATTTCATATTGCATTCAAACACACGATTACATGGATTTCAACGAAAACATAAATTTATCATAAATTCATTCATTAATAATAAAAAACGCATTTCCAGTGCAAACACGTGTCTAGAAAGGGATGTTGTCTTTGAAGGGATATCTCGTGAGCTGCGGAATACCGAACACATCGAACTGACAGCTCCTGTAGTTTCTGTCCAACGACTCCAACTCCTGGATCTCTTGTGGGGTTAACTCGAAGTCAAAGATCTGAATATTACTGCGGATTCGGTCGGCGCTCACGGACTTCGGGATCACTATTATCCCCCTTTGAGCCTAAAATATGGGGTCAAATATAACATAAATTAATATTAATTTAACTTGAACAATTGTAATTTAGGAGGTATAGGCTATGCCGCATACCCATAATATAATAATTCAAATATGTAATATTTTAAAATTTATAAATAGTTTACTAATTTACTCTTGCTATAATTTAATGTGCATAACTATTTATCATACAATAATATAATTACTAAATAAAATTTGAATATCATTTCTAACTATTAAGAAAACTAATACGAAAAGTTAGTTACTTGGTGTGTTTTCGTACAGTATTCAAATTTTAATTTTTAAAAATTTACTATTAACATTAATTGTACTATTTTTAAATTACAGTCTTACATAATTCCCTTGAATATTAAACAAGTAATATTTACAAATTACAGTCTGAGTTACATTGCCGAGTTAATCACAAATATTAAAATAAAATAATTTAATTATTAATATTACCTGGAACTTCAGCAACACTTGTCCCACGTTTTTGTTGTACTTCTGGGCCAATCGCAAAACTACCGGTTCCTTCAATAGCCTGTCCTTATCTGCGGCGGTATTCGCCGCCGAACCCGGATTACCGAGCGGTGAGTACGCCGTCAGCGTAATAGCCCGGTCCTCGCAAAACTTTTTCAACTTTGTTTGCGCCAAATACGGATGAATTTCCACCTTGATACAAAAATAAATAATTTTTTTGTTAGTACTTGCTAGTGTATAATGTTAACATTATTGTAGCATACATAATTATACAGTTTTAATTAGAAACATAGTAATTAAACATGTACCTGGTTAGTCACCGGCTTAATAGTGGCCGCACCTAACAATCGCTCGATTTGAATGCTATTAAAGTTGGAGATACCGATCGACTTGACGAGACCGGCCTTAACGGCGTCCTCCAGTCCCTGCCAGGCCTCCAAGTAGTCGATGTCGCCCTCAATCACCTTACCATTAGCACCGGTAGGCACCAGGTCTTTATCATTGGTGTTGTCGCCAAAGGACATGGGCCAGTGCATTAGACACAGGTCCAGGTACGGGGTGTTCAGGTTGGCCAACATTTTCTTGACGCACACCTCTACCCGATCGCGTCGGAAGAATGTGAGCCACAGTTTGGACACTATGTAGAGGTCCTCGCGTTTCACCTGCCGTTCAGTTACAATAGGTTTGGAATTAATTTCATATAAAATTTTTAAAATAATTTAACACTAAATTATTGGTTAAGAAATAATGAAAGTAATCTGTTCAGGCAAAAATTTTTTCTTGACGATGCCAACTAATTATTATTTTCAATAATTTAGTAGATTAAAATGAAATTTTAATTTTAATGTACAGTATGTAATTTTTTATATTTTATTTCTATAATATTGTAATTAATTTAAATAACTATATCTTAAATATTTGTTTTCAAGTTAATCGTAAAAATATTAAATAAATTATAAAATAAAATATTATTTATTACCATGATCATTTTTTAAATCCTTGAACAATTATCCAATAAATTAAATTCCTTTCTAGTTTAGTAATCTAATGTCTATTGCAAATTTTAATTTCAGTTTTAAAACTTATAAATAACATACCTTTCCATCAGCGATGGCATCGTTGATAGCCTTTCCCACCTCCACCTCATTCTCGTAGGCATAGGCGCAGTCGATATGCCGATAGCCGGCGTCGATGGCAGCCCTCACAGCCTTATAAAGGCTACCGTCAGGGGGCGACTGCCAGGTGCCCAAACCCACCACCGGAATGGACTTTCCGTTATTTAGCTTAATGTTGGGTACTTGTTTCGGATCAGCCATTTTTGTTAACTAAGTTTTCCCAAATAATTAAATTGCTAATTTATTTATATTATTATATATTATTTAAATTTATAAAATAGTTTCCCTAGATTCAACTGTAAAATTAAATATCAAGTAGCATTTATATATCTATTTAAAATAACTTTTAATATTATTGGCAAATATTTGATATTTTATTTTATATGAAATATGGGTTTATCAATATTTTTACAGTGAGTGAGTGTGTGTGTGTGTGTGTGAACCAGATGTCAATCATTGCAGTCATTAATCATAAAACTTTTTTTTATGTGTTTTCAATGTCATTGAAATACAATCTCGCTCTC